GTAGCGGATGCACTTGATCTCATCCAGCTTCTTCATCATGAGGCTCACCGTACCGAAGTAAAACTCGGGCATTGGGAATGGCATCAGTCCGGCCATCACCAAGCCGCTCATCAAGGAACCGAGCTGCTGGCTCTGACAAGCCTCCTTGATGTCATCGGCATCCTTGGAACGGCAGAACTTGAAGTCCTTGGGTTTCTCAAGCATGTCGTGCAGCGGGCCGTCCAGGGCACGCATAATCTCGCGAAGGCGGTGGATGCGAGCGAGCTTCATCAGTGCTATGCAACAACCATTAGCATCTAATACTAATGCAAAAAGAGACGAGTCTGCAAAGAACAAGAATTCTTACTAATAAGCTTGTAGGGCAGAGGCTGGTCGAGCCAGGAGTTACCATTGCGATCGAGGGGATTCTTGCCGTCGCGGTCGAGGCTCATCTCGTCGACAACCTGAGTAAAGACCCTACCAAATGCTCGGGCCTCGCCGAAGACCCAAGCGAGGACAAGTACCTTGCCGTTATCGACGTTCAAGGCGCCGTTCATCGTCATCTGCCAGTGGAGGCCGGTGAGGAGCCAGCGCTCGGCAAAGGGTGCAATGAGGAATGTGCACCCGTACTTCTCAGAAACGCAGGCAACCGCGTAAAGATCGTCAATCGTTGGGCGATTCTCGAGTTCGCGGAACTTCCAGTGAATGATGTGAAGGAGATACTTGATGCCGATCGGGTAGTCATCATCGCTCAACATCTTGACCACTTCGTGATACTGGCGCTGGCCTCCGGTCTCGCAAGGCAGAAAGACGAAGAAAGGGTTCTCCATCTTTTTCCCCCAGGCGGGCGACACCGCAGCGACCAAACCTGCGTTAACATGAACATACTCTGGATTGCCTCCCTCACGAAGCTGGATGAACGTGTTGGCCTTGTAATGGTAAGACGTAACGTCGTACTTCTTAAACTTGAGGTGGCTCAGCGCGGTGCCGCTGGCAATCTCCTGGCCAGAAGTGGCGTCGGCTTCAGTCTTTCCGATCCCGACGGTGATGATAGAGCTAGAGTCAGGGAGGGTAGTGTCCTCGGCGGGAGTGATGCCATCGAGGCTGGTCACCACAACCTGGTTAGCAACAGGGTTGTCATTGGCATCGTTGACAATTGAACTCTCGGCCTTGGCCTCAACATCGGCCTCCGTCTCGACAACCGAGTCGGCATTGTCGGCATTGCCGGGAGTGCCATGCTCAACGCGAACATTGGCCCCATGAGTGGATGCACCGGTGTCAGTGTCTGAAATGCCAGTGGACGAGTCCTCGCCCATAACGGCCTCAACGGCACTGGGGTCAGCAGACAGGGTGTCGGCATCAGTCTTGGTGTCCTTGTCAGCCTGAAAATAATATTAGAGATTGATCAGATCGGTAAGGGCTGTTAAGAATTAGACGCACCTGATGCTCGTCCTCGGGGACGGGAGCGGCAGCATTGGCCGACTTGGTGTCATTATCCTTTGGAAATACGTTAGAGACTGATGATAACGTTGTGAGTTAATTGGTTAGAAGACGACGTACCTTGTTGTTGTTGCTGTCACTATTATGAGCGACGGTGGTGTCAACCTCGGACGAAGCGGAGGCCATCTTGACTAATGTGGTGTGCAGGTTGCACGATTACAAGAACCAACTGTGACGAGAACAGACGGAAGGGAAAGAAGCCGTGATCGACTAAGAAGGTTGTGCTACAACGAGGGAACGATCGGCAGAAAGAAAGAAAGACGATCGGACTGGTGGGAAGCACTCAACCAAAGGGTGGTGGTGTTGAAGGAGGGTGGTTGTGTAGAGGAAAGGAAAACGGAATTTGGAAGTGCAGTCGAGCTGAAGAAATAGGTAGGATCGAACTGCCATCAAAGCCCGTGCGCGATCGCATGAGGACAGTGGAGGTAAAGAGGAAAGAACGGTCCTGAAAAAAACAAGTTGTGGGCTATCGGGGTAGTCAGTCTTCACTCCGTCCGAAGTTGTGCCCTAAGGAGGAGGTAGAAGAGAAGGGACGATTACCTACCTAGGTACCCAGAACGCCGCCAACAGGTGGCTCCAGCGTGACGTGTTAGATTCTTTAGGCACCCAAGCACCCAAGCACTCGCGTGAAGGGCAGAGAGCCCCTGCTAGTCATGATGGATGGCCTTGGAAGGGAGAGAGGAGAGTAGGTAGAGACCCTCAGGACCTAGAGGGCTTCCAGGTTTTGAAGCCGTATTATGCCTTTATTCAATCCAAAAGTCCCCCAACAAGACACAAGCCTACACAAACTCCCATATTTCCCAGGATGAAAGGGCATACCTGTACGGGATTGCAGACTGCAAGGAGACAAAGGAGAAAGACATGCAGAGCCGAAGTCTCTTTGTATGTTTAACAATCTCGATAGCAGTGTTGCTGTTTGCTATGCTAATACACAAATATCACCCATAGAACAAGACTACTCTATAGCTCCATCTTGAACTTGAGCAAGTTTTTCTCGACAATCTCGTCCTTCCTCGCTTCCAACTCGGTCACGTCCCAATTCGAACAGATATATCTTCCCGACAGCCACTCCCTCCGCTCGCTCGTTAGCCACAAGATGTTGTCAGCAGGAAGCTCAGGGGCGTCAACAAGGTGTGGATGGAGCCAGTCGGGCAGCTTCAGGGCGAGTTCCGTCTTGACCGCACCAGGGTGAATGGCGATGGCAACCAACCCCTGGGTGTGGTACTCCTGATCGGCAAACTCGACGAAGCGGCACGTCCCGACCTTGGCGATCTGGTACGGAGAGGCACCGTGGTTTAGCAACACGGCGCCGATGCTGGACATGGCGACGAGCAGCTTGGTCTCCGACTTGAGGAGGAGAGGAATAAAGTAGCGGGAGCACAAGTAGAGACCATTGAGGCTGACTTCGATTGTCTTCCACCACTCCCCCGGGTCGCCTTCGGCAATGGGAACCCATGGCGTATTGTATCCCGCGTTGGCAATCAAGACATCCAAGCTACCGCCAAAGGCTTCAGCAACAACCTCGGAAGCTGCCTTGACAGACAACTCCGAGGTAACATCAAGCGACAACACTACCACGGCTGGTTCGGGATGCCCCGCCTCTGCTGCTGCTGCTATGACGGCCTTCTTGACGTCTTCGAGTGGTGATCTTGCCCCTATGGCAATCTTGGAGCATCCGGCGGCGGCGTACCGTACGGCTGCCGTCTTTCCTATACCCATGGAGGCGCCTGCGATTAGAACTGACTTCCCAGCCAGGTTGAAGTTCTTGGGCGAGATCTCAGGACTACCAGCCACCTCGTTAGCTACCTAATTAGGAGCTCAAAGGGCATACATTGCAAACTCACTAGGTGTCATGGTGATACTTGGCAAAGCTTTGCAACTCGGCAACATTCGTAACACGGGGGGAGGGGCCGGCAAAAGACATGATGGGGATGTAGACAAGTTCAGGTACTGAGCTGTACCTTGACAAAGAGAAACAAGAGCCTTGGGAACCCTTTTATCCCTCAAGGTGCTGTCACATCCAACAAGAGACTCTCAGCTAATACAAGCCACGGACATACGCCACTAGGTTCCGATCGAGTGTTGCGAGTTGGCGGAATTAACAATTCAATATTCGTCCAGAAACGAGAAAGGAACTTCGCTGACCACACCAACTTCCCTTGGCGCGAATTGGATAACACCCATTCATCTTGGCACGCATGCAATCCTCAGCTGTCGGTACCAGTGCTGCACACGTTCTTGGAGACAATCCGATTCAAGCCCCGGCTTAGTGCCTGTGATAACCTGGAAGTGATGCATGATGGGACGTCCTGCAGGGTTCTTTTAAACTCCGACTGTCGATATCACAAATGGCAATCAATACGACCGAAGAGTATGACAAAGCGTTCGCTGGGGATGCTATCGTTGATTGGGGATTTACAATGCAGACAACAGGCACGGAACGGCCGGCTTGATACCATGCCACCATTTGAAGCGGGATTACGTAGTTCGGATAGTTCGTATCTCCGAACGTATTAATCAAAAGTCAGCAACACGCCTGACCCTCCGATGATTTGTGTCACCGTGGGTGGTTACAATACGCCACCAACGGGCCATTGGAAACACAGCATTATCGCCGAGGAGCGACACGCACACTGGACATCGTACTGCACGTGATGGTCCTCTCGCTCCGACTTTGGTCTGCTGGGTTGGTGGCGCGAATGCTCTATGGTCCCTTTTTACAATTGTCGTGACTTGATTGCGAGATGGCTGCTTGTTTTCAGGGTTATACCATTCCTGGGTTGACAGCTAGTTGTTGTAGACTGTAGTGACCAATCGCTCCGACGGTTGTGTACGTATCTAATACCAGCGACTTGCAGTCTTCATGTGACCCATTTCCCTCTTGCTTGCCTCAAATTGCTCACTGCTTCTTGCTTTTTCAAACTCAAAGTATTATTCGCTGCTCGCAGCAAACATGCATCATCAATCACTCCGACTGTGGTGGCATGGTTTGCTGACGAAAACGCTCGATGGCCTCGGCATTTTTCGCTCGCTTGGTTGGTCTCGAACTTGCTTCATTTGCTTCCCCCATACTACAGCGGAGAGAAGGTACCTAAGCTCCACTGGCGATTCGCTCCGACTTTGGTCTCCTTGACAACGAGAGTGCGTGCTCTGTATTCAAGTTTGGCTTCATCTGTTTACGGACCAGAAAAGTGATCACGCCCAACAGGTATGTCGCTCCGATTTGTAATATGTACACGTTTGCTGGTTGACTCATTTTTTTCGTGATAGTTTTCTTTTTATTTCTCTGCCTTTCTGTCATTCACGCCGCCAACAAACTCTCATCAACTCCACATTATTCGATCCGAAATCAAATCAACAAGGTCGTTTGCCGATCGCGTCGGAACTCCGTCAATGCGATGCGACGAGGTGCGAAAGTGTCCACCCCCAGCCGGCCCACCCGTTGTGTGCAACACACCTCCGGCTTTAAAAGACTACCTTCCCAACCAGAAACATCACAATCCAATCCATACCAATCGGCAGGTCGGGTGGCGTAATGGTAGCGCGTGGTCCTCCTATATCCACTTTGCATTTATTTCCGAAAAGGGGAGATTTATGGAGAAGTGAGTAGAACAGACTGAGGTTGTGGGTTCGAGTCCCATCTCGATCGATTTTTGGTGGTGGAGGCCTTTCTGTAAGAAACTGCCGTGTTATTTTTGATATCCTGGGTGATCGGATTGTGAGAAATGAACAAAGCATGAATCGCATTGTGACATGTGATCGTTTCTTTGTTGACGATTGATACCGGGTTGCGGGGTTGACTAACAAAGGCGTTGTCTTCGAGACACTGTTACCAAACGTCTTTGTTCTTAAGGACAATCAACGCCCTCTGAGAAGGTATTTAACCAGCTCGCACCGCTCCATTCCCTATCGCCATTTTCTCTCACCATCGCCATCGGTTTCTCAGACACTCAGACAAGTTCAAAGCCTCACAGCTGCATCGGCCACCTGCTCTCACTGCAATCACCCTTCCACACAAGGGTTTCAACAAGAAGAACAGGCAGTTCGTAGCGTCTTTGCTCAGGTAGCAAAGAAAGGGGACCTTCAACTTCTCTGAGCCTTTCACACTGAGATTCCCAACATCACACTTTTCCACAAGGAGGTAAGTCATACAGAACAACAACAACAACCCCTCACGATGTGGGGCTCCAACTACCTCAAGCGCCTCATCGGAGGTCTCTACCTCAAGATCGCAGACCAGCAAGAGGTCGAAGAGACCCAGATCCAAAACATGCAATTCCTCAACGACGCTAACGCCTTCTTGGAAGGTGTTGACCAGCTCGGATCGACCCAGACCTCACTAACCAGAACCCAGCAGCAGCTAGCAAGCACCAAGGCAATCATTGGTAACCTCAATAGGCAGCTCGACGAGGCCATAACCAACTGGTGCGGCCTTCCTCCCCCCGAGCGAGCTGCAGCCGAACTGCCTTGGCCTGGTTTTCCTGGACCTCCTCAATCCGACTCGGAGTCTTCTACATGCAGTTTCTCATCTTCATACTCTTCTTCATATTCTTCCGGTTCGGACGTGTACGGCGATGATGATCAACCAAGGTACGTCGACCCCAGGGAACTTCTATTAACTAACAACAACAGCAACAGATACCCCGGTTCGTCCTCTAACCAACAATCTCGGACTTTTGAACCTCAAATCCCTTCCTGGCGTCCTCAAAGCTCCGCCGACTTTTGGTGCGACCCCGCGTACGATCCCACAGGCACCTTTTGGGATCAAAATGTCGGCAATTGTACTCTTTGGACTGCTGCTCGCTCTGGCAGGGCTCAGCACGATATTGACTATGCTCGCCCTATTTCGCCGGGGACTGTTAGGACTGTTGCGCGGGATTATCCGTGGAGTCAGGGGGAGGGGGAACATGCTGGCAGGCCTAGCAAGAGGAGAGGGGTTGTTGATGCTAGGGAGGTGTATGGTGAGTGGAATTGGGTTTGAAGGGTTGAGGGGGGTGAGGTGAGCGGTGCGCAGTTGTGGTGAGGTAAGTAAAGGAAGGTGAGTAAATCAATAATAATAACAAAAAATAAATAAATAAATAAATTAAAAAAAAGGCCCTGTCTTTTCATCTAAAAATATGTTTTGATTGATAATTGCTGTTTGTTGCCATCCCACATGTTTCCTCCCTCTCTGGTATCTCTACACGCATTGAAATCTTGTTGATTCTCTTTTTAACACTGCTTTCTAGATGGGTACCTATACATATTGATTAAGAGCTCTTACAATTGCTTGTGTTGTTGTTACATAGGTCTGTATTGACTTCACCTCCGTGACCGCTAAGCTGTTTGTTTTTCTTCTTCGGTCGTTCTGCGAATAATTGACAGTGCCAACCATTACATCACATCTCATTGATGCGGTCGCAGGGCGACTTTGCAATCAAGCTCGCAGATTCTCCAGCACCCGAACGACCGCCCAGCAGAACTCCCTAACCTTTTCATTCTCGGCCTCGCTGGATTCTCCTTGCGAGCCGGCCGCCGAAGACAAGCATCTGACAACCAAGTCTCTGTAGGCCGCCCCGCAGAGAAAGCCGAGATATTTCTGAGCACGTTGGATCAACCGCTCTCGCCACTCTCTCCGCCTCGTCCGGTACCTGTCCCAGCCCAGCGGACTCCAGCGACTGCCACAACCCAATCTCCAGCAAGACGCAGCCGAGGCTGTAGACGTCATACGCTCGATGATATTTCTGCTTGGGAACAGCCCCCTGTGGTCCTTCTTGCCCATCCATCCGCTCGATCGAATGCTGGTAGTCAGTCTGGCAGTAGGCAAGGGCCGATGCCCATTCGTCGTTAGCCTTGACGTACTGGCTCTCCGACGGCAGGAGAAGTTGTTCCGGCCGGGCGAATCCGAAAACCCCCGAGGTATGGTGCCCCGAGGTTGATGTCCTGGTTGTCACTTTGTTTGAAAAAGATGACGTTGTCTGAGCGGATGTCCTTGTGGAGCCAGCGGGAGAGGTGAAGCCTGGGCAATGCGCGGGCGAGCGTCCACGCGAGATGAAACCGGAGGGAGAGAATCGGCCCCAGTCCAGAGTTCCCCGTACACCGGGCTCTCCAGCTCATTTTTCAGCGTCCTGACCTCTACGCCTGCGCCGGTTGAAATCGGTGGATTGGGCAGCTGGAAGAGGATCCCACAGCAGCGGAGATCCACGTTTTGAAAGTAGCCCACGCATTTCAGGATCCGCAAGTCTTCTGGCAGGGTGCTTGAGAGCAGCCGTGCAATTCGATCGGTGCGTTCAATGGCAAGGGATTGCGCGTGAGGAGTGGGACCGTATGGCTTCCATTCGACAATGACATCCAGGTCCCTTGCAAACTTGTCATAGCCCTTGCGATATCTCGCAATCGGGCGTCCGCCGAAAGTGCGAGACAACTCCGTGCTGGCTTCACCGTTGGAAGTGTAGGCATAGACCTTACTCCTCCACTCCTGGAATGCAAGGTCGGTATCGAGGCTCTTGAAGGCCGGGTTCTCGGCGGCATCGAGACGAGCCCTCATCTCGACCGTCTGGCTCAAGACCGGAGAGGCAATCTCGCTGGGCGCCTAGGGAAGCGAGAGACCGAGCGCGGATATGGTAGCCATCGCCTCGCACGCGGCAGCCATCTGGTTCGACTCTTAGGAGATGGTGTTGTCACGCGGCGTGACCTGCCAGAGGTTGTCGTTGTGAGCGCGCAGCGTGGAGACGACTTGTTTCGTCCGGTCGAAGTCGAGTACGAGCCATCGGAACCGCCTCAATGCGTCTTTCGCTTTGGCGGAGAGACCCTGAGCGAATGATCAGCATCATCCCGTCACATTGCTTCACGGTCGAACTCAAGTACAAAACCTTCTCGAGTTCCTCGTCGGGCTTGTAGCGGGTCGCCAGCTTCTCCCCCTCGGACAGTTGTGCCATCATTCCCTTGAGAGTCAGTTCGACGACCTTGGGATCCAGTTCCCGGTCCCGAACGGCCTTTTCGAGCAGAGTCGCTGCTTCGGGCGGACCCGTACCAACAACGTCCCCATCAATTGGAATCTGCCACGTCTTGGCCCATAGTTTGAAGCGACTATGCTGCCAGAGCAGGTCGTCGGCGAGAGACGCAAAGTCGGGGGAGAAGCTTTTGTTCGATGAGTACAACCGCGTCGCGGTCAGGCTTGTGTCCAGGAGGCTGAAGATGGCGAAGACGAGAGATACTGCCTCCATTGCGGAAGTTTGGGCGGTTCGAACTGGGTGTCACGGTTGGGCCTGCGCGTCTTCCTCCGTCCAAAAGAATGCGCGGGCGGGGTGAGGGGCATCGAAGTGTTTCCGGCCTAGTCCTGTGCGGCTGAGCCGCTTCCTGGCGGCTTCTTCCTCTTCGTTCTAGAATCTCGCCGTTACGCGTCGTATGCCTAGACAACTCTTCAGTCCATCGTTCTTGTCAATACGTCGCATGTGCAGACCCGAGGATGCTGCCGGAGGATCACTTCTTGTCTCTCGCGGTGCGAGAGGCGATGAAGCCGGTGCGGGATTGGGAAGTGAACCTCGGAGAATTGCCGCCAGGTGGCCAAGATCCATTTGGAGTCGTGAGCGGCTTGTCTCTTCTTGCGCCTCATGTTCTGCACCCTCGAGCAACTAACGAGTTACGAACTGGACATGTAGAATTCCCTCCCCAAGTTAAAGGAGCACGCAGCGCTGTCCAACACGCATAACAGCAGCATCAAGCCCTCGAACAAAGGCTCCGAGTCCATCGCTCGTTTTCAACGATACCGCCAGTCCGGTGACTCGGACGATGAAATCGGCAAGACGCCAGAAAATGGCGCGTCCGCCACGCCAGCAGCAACACCCACCAGCTCTTCTCGGTCCGAGACTTTCAGCGTCGTTCTGGCTCACGTGCACTTTATTCTTTCCATCCTCTCATAGGACGACAGTTATCTCTGCTGACGTCGTGCACGGCGATGTCAAGATGGAGAACGTGCTAGTGTTTCCTAGCGGCGATGGTGGGCTTGCAGCCAAAGTGTCCGACTTTGGATTCGCCCTGGTCGACCTTGATGGGAGCCAGCCCCGGGTCGCGTTCAACAAGGGTACTCATCCGTGGACAGCACCGGTAGAATCCCGATCCAGGTGGCAGTCGAGAGAGGCAACATGCAAATGATCAGACATCTTATGGATCTGGCCGCTGTCTTGTCTGGGGACAGCAACCCACCAGACGCTACGACAACGTACCTCCCAAGGCAGCTTGCAGTGATCGGCCTGCAATCCGCTGTGCTCTACGACCCGCCACGGCGCGCTATTTCCTCTCCAAGGGAGCATCCCCGCTTTGCCCAATGCACTACATCAGCAGCGGCAAGGAGTATCAGGATCCCCCGGCGTCAATTAAACCCACGGACCCAAGTCGAACGCCCGGGTGTCAAACGCATCTGCACAGCTGCGCAAAGGCCGGCGGATCCGCAGGAGAGATAGGACAGGCGTTCGTGGACCATCTGAAGCCGGGGTATATGGAAAGGCTAACACCGGCCCAACAAGCGGCCCTCAGTACCTGCGCGGTCGAGATTACATTGGGTGAAGATGGCTCGGGTCGGGATGACCCTTTGCTTGACTCACACGACGAGTCCGACTGCACGCCCTACTTCCTCGCTCTCTAAAATGAGGAATACGCGTAGGTCCCCCC